CACTACCTCTTTATTGATATTTTCCATGCGTTGATACGTTTTTATCCTGGTTTCTTTCCTTTTTACATCATATTCAAATTGATTTAAAGTCTTTGTCTAGTTAATCCAAGTTTTTGTATTTTTTTTTTTAGTGAAATATACCTTTTATTTTCCTGTGTTTTTACATGCTTAGTAGGTTTTGTGGGTTGGATTTTTGAGATTCAACATATTGTGATGTATACAAAGAAAGAAAAGAATAAGAATATTCATTTGTGTTTTGACTTTGTCTTAGCTCACCCCTTTTAAAAGTTAGTCAGGGTGCTCACAACTCTGCCTTAGCTTTAGTCTAGTATGTCCTTTGCTTAAAAGATCAACCAGAGATGAAGTTTATGATCTCTTCTCAGATCTTTTCTGAGCACATGTATTTCTCTGGGCATGCATTGTTCTTTTCTTTGTTTGTTTGTTTTTTCAGGTTCTCTGGTGGCACTGGGGCTTGGGTGTTTGACTGATAAACATAAGGTTGGTGGTTCAAACTCACCAGGCATTCTGTAGGAGAAAGATGAGGCTGTATGCCCATGTAAAGATTTATAATTTCATAAACCTTAAGCAGCAGTTCTATACTATTTTTAAAGGTCACTATGTGTTGGAATTGACTTGATGGCAGGGGATTTTCATTTTATTCATGCAGTAAATGGCAGGAAGGGACAATATCAGACCTTGCTGCTCTATAGCCATGAGCTAGAGATCAGATATGCCTCTTTTCTCTATCTTTCTTCACCCTATTCTGACACCAGCCATTGCTCTCATGGCACTCTTACCTCTATCCTGAGTTCAAGAATTTGTTGCAATAACTTCATTGAACTCAGTCATAGGATGCCTATTGGGGCTTAATCAAGGGCAATTTAACAGCGAGGAATTACTAAACCCGAATGAAGGTCGAACATGATAGTGGGACAAGAGGAAAGTAAAAGGAAATAGAGGAAAGAACAAGGAGGCAAAGGACATTTACAGAGGCCTAAATATGCATATATATATATCATGGGAATTACAGACATGAATAGAAGAGCCATATTAAGAAATTTCTCTAGCTTTCAGTGCGTCTTTAAGTTCTTTCTATTTGAATACTGCTTTAGGTGCATTGATTTTTGGGTGGTACTGTTGCTGATATATATATCATGAGAGGGGAATAGAACTATGTACTCTCTTAACACAAGAACATTTGTTCTAACAATCCAGCATTCTGTGATGCTCACCTTTCTGACACGATAGCTGAAGACAAAATAGTGCATAAGATAATGTGATGAAAACAGCTGATGGTGCCCAGCTATCAAAATATACAGCATCTAGGGTCTTAAAAACTTGAAGATAAACAAGCGGCCATCTAGCTGAGAAGCAAGAAAGCCCACATGGAAGAAGCACACCAGCCTGTGTGATCATGAGGACGTGTTGAAGGGATCAGGTATCAGGCAACTAAGACCCAGAACAAAATCATACCCAATATGAATGAGGGGGGTGGGGGGGAATGGAGTGGAGACCCAATGCCCATCTGTAGACATTTGGACATCCCCTCACAGAGGAGTCACAGGGAGGAGATGAGCCAATTGGGGTGCAGTATAGTACCGATGAAACACACAACTTTCCTCTAGTTCTTTGGTGCTTCCTTAACCCCACTATCATGACCTCAATTCTACCTTACAAATCGGATTAGACCAGAGCATGCACACTAGAGCCCACAATGTAGGGAATCCAGGATAAATAAACCCTTCAGGGCCAACAATGAGAGTAGAGATACCAGGAGAATTAGGGGAGGATGTGGGGAGAACGGGGGAATAGATCACAAGGATCAATCTACAACCCCCTCCCAGGGCGATGAATAATGGAGAAGTGGATGAGGGACGAAAGAGGATGATGTAAGATGGAAATAATAATCTATAATAACCTATAACTTATCAAGGGTTTGTGAGGGAGGGTGGGTGGGGGAGGGAAGGGGAAGCAATCGAGCTGATATCAGGGTCTCAAGTGGAAAGAGAATGGTTTGAAAATAATGATGGTGGCATGTGTGCAAAGGTGCTTGACACACTGGATGAATGTATGGATTGTGAGAAGAGATGTAAGAGCCCCCAATAAAACTATTTTTTAAAAATTCACAGAACTCACAAATAATACTCACAATGAAAGCCTTGTGAGAATAAATAATAGGGTGCCATAAACCAGGATTAGTAAACAGAAAGGATATAGTCATTGGTCTACAGTAACACTTCTTAGCCAGCAGCCAGGTCTCTCTCTGTTCCTCAGCCTCTCAGCCATGTGGTCCCTCAGCCTCTGCTGACCAGGAAGCCAGCCTGTTGTGCTTCCATATCTCAGCACTGCTCCTGTGGTCTTTCCCATGGTGTACTTGCCTCACTCTATGGTGTCCCTGGTCTCTGTCTCAGTGTCAGTTTGAGCCACTTCAGGGGAGAGATCTTGAACATGCTGCACTAGGGTTTCTTCCAATGGTCCTGAGATTTCTCTCTTCTGGCTGAGATTCATCTTTATAGCAAAGGGAGTGGCAACTAAAACCAATCTCCTCTATTAGTGTTACACATGCCCCATTTGCATAGTTCCACCCAATCATTTGGTGGGAATTACAGACATGGATAGAAGAGCTGTATTAAGAAATTTCTCTAGCTTTCAGCGTGTCTTTAAGTTTGTTCTATTTGAATACTGCTTTAGGTGTGTTGATTTCTGGGTAGTGGTACTGTTGCTGATTATCTGCCTGAAGAGCATCCCTTAGTGTCTTTGGTAAAGTTGACCTTAGTTTTACAAGTTCCTTTAATTTCTCCTTATCTTGAAATGCCTTTATATATCCCTCATGCATGGAGCATAATTTGTTTGGATGTGAGATTCATGGTTTTTATGTACATATGTTTTTCTTCCAAAGTTTTATATATGTCACCTCATTGCTTTTTTACCCGAATGATTTCTGCTGAAGAACCTGAGGTGGTTATTATTATTATTATTATTTGTTTTCCCTTTGTAAGTAACTTTTTTGAAGTGGTAGGGGCTGATATTAGTATTCTTTTCTTGTCCTTAATATTGGGACATTTAACTGATATATGTCATTGTAATTTCTTTGGAAGTCTGTCCTGTTTGGTCTTCTTTCAGTTTCTTAAATGGTTATTTTCTCCTCTATTGTAGCAGTAGTAAAGTTTTCTTCTGGCAGTTCTTAGACTGTTTTCTCTGGGGTGGTTTACTAAAACATCAGAAGAAGAGAAACATAAGAAAACAAAACAAGACAGAACAAAAATTAACTGGACACAGTTCTTTCCTTGGCCCTTACTCTTGTCCTACAACTGACTTCTGTGTACGTCTGGGGTGGTGGCTTTTATAATTGTTTTAAGTCATTATGTGCCTGGCAGTTTATCAATATAAAGGAAAGAGGGTGGGGGCCTTGCAGGGAGAACAACAACAAAAGAAACGGAGCCACAACCTACTTTTTACTCCATGATCCTGAAGTCGTAACATCCAGCAGAGCCCAGGGCTAGAGTCACATGGGTGGTCCCAAACTGTGTTGTCTGGAGTGCACAACTGTCTGGGTATGAGGAAGCTGACACGGAGAACCCATACTATTTCAGTCTCCCTTTATTAGTTTTCCCATGTATCCTGTGCTGTGATGGCTACTGGCCATCATCTTTATCCAACTACCCTTGCTGCCTGTGTATGTGAAAGGAGGGTCACAATCAACTACTGGATAAACTGGGTATGATCCAGTTACTGCTGTTTGCTAAGGGTCGGGGTTTAGGGAGCTGGGGCAGGATGTAGTGCTCACCTCTCATTGACTTTTCAGGGGATACATTTTACTTGTCCTATCTGGTTATTAGGAGACCTGGTGGTGTAGTGATTACGCATTGGGCCTCTAACCACAAGGTCAGTGGTTCAAAACCACTAATCTCTCCTTGGAAGAAAGATAGGGCTTTCTTTCTATTCCTGTGAACAATTGTAGTCTTGGAAACCCATGGGAGGTGGGGGCCAGTTCTACCTTGTCCTCACTGACTGGATGGCCATGAGTTTAGTTTTGGTTTTGTATGGTTATTAAGGAGCTATGAGGGTGTAGTGATTATGAGTTGGACTGTTAACTGCAAGCTCAACAGTTCGACACCCCAGCTGTTCGTTGGGAGCAAGATTGGGCTCCCATAAAGAGTTGCCAGATATACTTGTGCATAAGTCGAGTTTTTCAGCACATTTTTTAATGCAGTTTTTATTGTAAAATTAGGTGCCTCAGCTGATGTTTGGGTCAGCTTATACTCGAGTATGTACGGTACCTTGAGTATGTCCGGTACCTCGGAAACACACAGTGACAGGTCTACTTTGCCATGTAGGGTTGCTATGAGTCATAATTGACTTGAAGGCAGTGAGTTTGGCTTTTTATTTTTGGTCTGGTTATTGAGGGAGAGCTTACTAAGTGCTAAGTCAGAGCATGTTAGTTTTGTGAATCAAGAGATTTCACTGATGGCCAGAAGTGAATTCTGATCCCAGATTTCCCCATAGGTGTGTTTGACCCACTCAGCTGCACTTTCCTTAGAAATCCTGCATCTAAGTCTCTCCTCTGTCCACACTTTTTGGTTTCTTAGTTGTAGAGAGAGCAAGTAGTGGGTTGCCATTTTTTATTGTACTACATTAGTAGTGAAGTGCTACTTGAAGTTGAATCAGTATTGGGTCCCAGGTCCTTGACTATGCTTGAGTCTCTTCTCACTGCTATAGATTTGAATTCTGACTCATAGCAACTCTATAGGACAGGGTATATCGAATGCCCTTTTGGGTTTCTGAGACAAAGCCTCTTTATGGGAGTAGAAAGCCTCATTTTTCTCCTGAGTAGTTTCAAACTGCTGACCTTTCGGTTAGCATCCCAATATATAACCCACTGCATCATGAGGGCACCTGAGTCTCTTAGGAACCCAGAATATAAGGCCAACTTGTTTTCTGTTTTTTACCTGCTATAGTTTAATGATATTCATTAATCATGGAAACTTTTAATCCTACAGAGTAGAAGAAAGAAGAGATCTCTTCATGTTTTTCAGAAGCCTACACTTTTTTGTGGAGTGGTGTGAATATCGCAAGTGCACATTCAAGCATTTCAAGGTAGAGTCTTGAATTTAATCATACATTAAAAATGAAACTATTATTAATTTGAGGATGCTGTCATAACATTCTTAACACTTTTGAAAAGTAGAAAACATGTTCTAGGACTTCTGCAGTTATTTGCAATAAGTAGAGAAAGGAGTGCTTCTGTATAAATTCTTGTGATATTTACATCATGGAATATTTTGGAAGAACAACTAAATAAGTATTAATTTTAGAATGTATGTTTTTTGTTTGTTTGTTTGTTTTTTAACATTTTATTAGGGGCTCATACAACTGTTATCTCAATCCATACACACATCAATTGTGTAAAGCGCATTTGTACATCGTTTCTCAAAACATTTTCTCTCCATTTAAACCCCGACATTAGGTCCTCATTTTTCCCCTCCCTCCCTGCTCCCCTCTCCCGCATGAGCCCTTGATAGTTTATAAATGGGTATTTTGTCATATCTTGCCCCGTCCGACGTCTCCCCTCATCCACCCCTCGGTTGTCTGTCCCCCAGGGAGGAGGTCACACACAGCTCCATGTAATCGGTTCCCTCTCTCCCACCCATTCTCCCTTTACCCTCCCTGTTTTGCCACTCACACCACTGGTCCTATAGGGCTCATCCGTCCTGGATTCCCTGTATTTTCAGTTCCTATCTGTACCAGTGTACCTCCTCTGGTCTAGCCAGACTTACAAGATAGAATTCGAGTCATGGTAGTGGGAGCGGGGAGGAAACATTTAGGAACTAGAGGAAAGTTGTATTTCTCATCATTGTTACATCACACCCTGACTGGCTCATCTCCTCCCCGAGACCCCTCTGCAAGGGGATCTCCAGTGGCCTACTAATGGACTTTGGATCTCCACTCCGCACTCCCCCCATCATTCACTATGGTAAGATTTTTTGTTCTGATGATGCCTTACACCTGATCCCTTCGACACCTCGTGGTTGCATAGGCTGGTAGAATGTATGTTTTGATAAATCAATATGTCAAAGATATTTAAAGTAAAATGATAAAAATGAATGGAGATGAGAGTTATAGTAAATTTATCACATAGCAATATAATCTTAATTTTTTGAAGTAGGCTGGGTTATTTTTTAGTTTCTTAATTACTGTAACATTTTAAGTTTAAATATTTACAAGTGATTATTGTGAAGTAACGCTTCTTAATTTGAGATGAATTCATTTAAAGTCTTCTTTGTGTTTGGCTGTGTTTAATCCCCTATGTACTACTTACTCAATTGAGTAGCATCAAATTGCTGACACAAAAATGGATCTAAAAGAGTAACCATAAATAATCACTCATATTCTCCCAAAAACCTCCCCAAACTATGGCTGTTGTCTTTAGAATTGTTTTTACAATTTATTTTAACTAACAAATGTGGTCATTGTTTCTGTTTCCTGGGATATAACCTTTAAAACCTTATCATTTCCACAACAATTGGGGTCTTTTAAATTTGTACTGGAGTTGGGTAGGGGACTGCAGTTTTGAGAGGCAGGCACCAGACCTTACCTGAAGGTTGTGCTGATGACTAATTCATGTTCATTCTTGACTGGCCATTGTCAGAAAAATATTAGCCTGAGCTTAGGGAAAAGGGAGGACTGCAGACCATGTGGACAATGATTCAGTCAATCGTACCTATGTACTGAAACTGCAATAAAAGTTCTGAACACAAACTATCCATGATTTTACTCTGCTGTCGAGTTGATTCTGATTCATAAGAACCCTGATGGGGAAAATAGAACTGCTCTTTGAGTTTCTGAGACTGTAATTATGTATTTATTTTTGAGATCATTTTATTGGGGGCTCATACAACTCTTATCACAATCCATACATCCATCCATTGTGTCAAGCACTTTTGTACATTTGTTTCCTTCATCATTCTCAAAACATTTGCTTTCTATTTGAGCCCTTAGTATCAACTCCTCACTTTTGCCCATCCTTCCCCTTTCCCCCTCCCCCATGAACCCTTGATAATTTATAAATTGTTATTATTTTGTCGTATCTTAAACCATCCGACATCTCTCTTCACCCATTTCCCTGCTGTCCATCCCCCAGGAAGGAGGTTATATGTAGACCCTTGTAATCTATTGTCCCTTTCTCCCTCACCTTCCTTCCACCCTCCCAGTATCACCACTCTCACCACTGGTCCTGAGGGGTTCATCTGTCCTGGATTCCCTGTGTTTCCAGTTCCTATTTGTCCCACTGTACATCCTCTGGTCTAGCCAAATTTGTAAGGTAGAATTGGGATCATGATAGTGGGGGCGGGGAGGAAGCATTCAAGAACTAGAGGAAAACTGTATGTTTTATCATTGCCACACTGCACCCTGACTGGCTCGTCTCCACCCCACAGCCATTCTGCAAGGGGATGTCCAATTTCCCACAGATGGGCCCTGGGTCCCCCCTCTGCACTCCCCCTCATTCACAATGCTATAATTTTATTTTATTTTTTGGTCTTTGATCCCTGCCATGCTTTGTGATCTCACAGGTTGGTATGCTTCTTCCATGTGGGCTTTGTTGTTTCTCAGTTAGATGGCCACTTGTTTATCTTCCAGCCTATAGGACCCCAGATTCTATATGTTTTGATAGCCGGGCACCATCGGCTTTCTTCACCACTTTTGCTTATGCACCCGCTTTGTCCTCAGCAATCCAGTCAGGACAGGCTGGTGTGCTTCTTCCATTTGGGTTTTGTTGTTTCTCAGCTAGAAGGCCGCTTGTTTATCTTCAGGCCTTTAGGAACCCAGATGCTATATCTCTTGATAACTGGGTACCATCAGCTTTTTTCTTCACCACATTTGCTTGTGCAACCGTTGTCTTTAGCTGAGACTGTAATTCTTTATGGAAGTAGAAATCCCCTTCTTTCTCCCTCAGAGAGGCTGGTGGTTTCAAACTGCTGACCTTATAATTAACAGCCCAACTTGTAACCACTAGAGTTCCTAAGATTATTGGTTAGCAAAATAAATCAATGCTTAAGTGAGTAACATCTCAGTTTTTTGCAGATATGAAAACTCTCTTTTGGGTACTCACCCAGACTTGCCTAGGTATTTATTATTTTACCCTTTTTGTTGTGGTATAACTATTTAATAAATAGTCCACTTTTCTGAGTTCTGTGAGTTGTTCTGGTCAAACCCCAGGATATAATGGAAATCATAATTTGTAGCTAGTCAGAATTGAAGGGAGCATAAAGGTTCCTGAGTTTATGATTACTATCCCGAGAGGAAACTTTTGAATTTATATCGAGCAGGTAGAAGTGAGAATATCATAAGAACCCCCAATCTTGCGGCTAGCCTCTGAAGTCTTGGGAAAATTTGACAGTTTAGAAGACCATGCCCTTTAATTTCAAAAAACAAATAAAAAACAAAAGAGACCTAGCTTTGGTTGTTAGGATCAGAGGAAGAAGGGCTCCATGTGCAGTTGGTATATAGCTACCGGTATGTTTAGAGTCCTTGTGCTAGAGAAGCTACACACACAAAGAGACACTATATTGCCTTTACCTTGGATTTAAACATTGTATTTGGTTGAGCTTATAAAAAGCTATTGCTTCAGAGTAGTCATGGTCAAGGAATAAAAGTCAAAACAGACACAAATTTTAAAAATATGAGTGAAGCAGATTGATAAATGTAACAGGAAAAATTATGAGTTGAGGCCCTGGAATGGTAAACTAGGAAGAGGCATCATGAACCTTTTAGGAGCCTTACATAGGAGATTTGGTTATCAGAATGATTGTGGGTGACACATTTAAAATGGTGCTATCTTTGAGCAGGTCACTGTTGTTTCCAACTCTGCTAATGAAAAGATTTGGCTAGTATTCAAGGTACACACTTTCCCTGTTTTCTATGAAACTAAGTATTTAGCAGGGGATAGTTTTATAATTTTTCCTGTTCTGATTATTTTTCTAGTTCACCTACATTTAATAAATTCTGGTCTGACAAATTCTATTATATGTTCTATTATGAATAATAGAATGAAATGTTGCCCAGTCCTATACAGTCCTCATAGTTATTGACATTTTAGTTTTTATCCTTGGGGCTATTGTGTACATCTAATTGAGGGTTTTCATATTTTTCTAAGACCCTCAACTTTACCAAATATGATGTCCTCCTTCAGCCATTGGTTCTACCTAAAGTTGTTTCAGGGTCCAAAATAAGTGAGACAGAGTCTCACCGTAATTGCTTCTAATGAGCATTCTGAGTGTACTTTATTAAATTTTCTTTGTTAATACTGTCACTGTCATTAGGTTCTTTTAAAAGAAAGATTTTCTCTGGGAGACATAAAGGAAACACCTGAAAATTTTATTAGGTAGCTGTTTAACTGGTTCAGCCAAGATATCAACTTTTCCACTTGTGCATGCCTGTCTTGGCTTCTTAAGTGTTGTCGCTGCCATTCAAGACTTGGGACTTCACTCCATCCATGCTCAATTCTCATTCAATGATGTGGGTATAACGGGGTTTGGGAAAAATGTAGCCTAGAAGGGAAGGTACAATCCACATGATCAAACAACTGCCACCTCTGTACCGGTCCACTTTTGTTCCCCTGTCGAGTCTCATTTCCCCACCTGACAGATTTCATATACATATTTCTTTATGGAGTCAGGGACTCCAGCAACTTCTGTTGCTGCTTTCTGCTTAAATGAGTTGTAGAGTATACAACTGGTGCCTGATCAATGAGGACTCACCTCTGACTTCAGATAGAGCAGGGTCTATTCAGAAGGGAAGGGGCAGTGTCAATTGCTGCCGAATGGATGAGGAGAGCTGGCAACACATCTGGTTACCAGCAAGGTGTATAGAACAAGGAGTGATTGTACCCTATTGCTCATCAGCAACTGGTGTGGGTATTTATGTGTTCCTGGGTGTTACCATCTAGCAATATGGAGCTGCAGTGAGTGGCAACTTGAAGAAACAGAGTAGCCAGTGGACTGATAATCCAAACGCCATTAATGTAGCTTTTGTGCCCCAGGCCACACCAGACATCAGAAAAAAGTTACAGCAACTAGAAGGATTTGCAGGGGAAAATA